GGGGGGGCTTAGCCCAGGGACAGATAGTAGTGGGGGGAAGGAGTTTGGTTTGGGTTAGACCCAGTGCTTGCTGCACACATCACATGCAGGCACACACGTGCCCAGACAACATGCAAGCCCCCAGGCCACCTGCCTCCGCCTGGCCTGTCCCAGCCGTGGATCCACCCACATCGAGAACAAGCCGGTTTCAGGGAAGGGAAGTGGCTCCCGGCACTGGGTGAAAGGGCAGGAGAGACCAGGAACCCCCCTCGCTGAAGCCCCCCAACTCCCCCAGCCTGGTGTTGTTGGGATGCAGCTACCTTGGGGGTTGAACATGTCAAAGGTTGGTGATAACCTGCTGGGGGTGGGGGGAAGGAAGCAAAGGATTCTGAGATAGGCAAGCCAAGAAGCACCCCCCTCCCATACCTGTCACCCCACAGGGCACGTCCGGGCCTGGCCTATCATTAGAGGCAATTAAAAGTTATTACCCAGCTGAGCTAACAAGCAGGTAGGAGCTGGGCAGCCCCAGCCACCTCCTGCCATGCTAAGTAGGGATAGGCCTGGTCAAGGGTTGGATGAGAGATGGGGGCAGGAGGGGGCACTAGCAAGAAGCACCCTTCCTATGCCCCTCCTCCCCAGCAGCCCTGGGTGTGAAGGAGGCATCTGGGCCCTTCCCCCACCCTGAGTTGGCAACAGCTCCTGTATTTCCTGTCCCAAGCGCACAGGGCACCTGTGGTTGTCTGGCATTACAGCACCCCTCTCCAGAGCTGGTTGCATCTCCATGCTGGAGGGGAGAGGAGGCAGATGGACAGATGGCATTGGGGAGGGAATAGGAGGAGGTTCATGTGTGGGGAGCAGAGGGGGTGAATAGAGCTAGCCTGGGGGGTGCACTCCAGAGGTGGCTGCATCTTGGGGCTGGGAAGGACAGATGCAGAGGCTGGGGGAAGAAGGCTGTGTGCACAGACAGACAGAAAGACAGGGGCACACAGAGGTGGGGGAGGCAGCTGGGGCCTGTGGGATGAGGGGGGAACATGGAGCAGCTGCATCTCAGCCCATGACTGGAGAGAGATTTGGACGGATGGGGGAGGTTGGAGATGCAGGGACAGAGATCAGCTGGAAGGAAAGACAGACCATGGGGTGTGTCTGGGGCTGGGCAGACAGAGATGCTCCCCAAAGGCAGCTGCAATTTGGCACCAAGTTCACACAGACATACACGCAGAACCCAGGCATCTGGGACATGCACACACACAGAGCCCAGGTGCCAGGGACACACACACACAGGACATGCACATGGAACGGTATCTGGGACACACAGCCCAGACATGACATGTGTGCGCGCACACACAGAACCCAGGGAGAGGGACAGCACTTGGGGAACCCTCAGGCCCAGGCAGTGAGCCCCCCCTCCCCCACTCAGCACAGCTGTGTTCCCAGGGGTCCCCCCCCCACAGCACTGACCCCAGCCGGCAGGAGGAGGCTTCCAGGAAGGCCGGCTGGGCACAACGCCCTGGCTGCTGGGAAGTCTGGGCTGTGACTCACCCGCCTCAACTTTCCCCAGCCCAGCTGCTCCCCTCCAGAGCCAGCCACATCTCCCAGCCCCCCTCCCCGCCCCCCACCCCCGCCAGCCGCAGCTGAGCCTGTGCCAGGCCTTTGAAGTGTGGTGCTGGGGGGGGCCATGGGAGCCAGACCCATGTTTGCTTCCTGAATGTATGTGTGCATGTGCACGCACATCAGTGGGGGTGTTAGGTTGCATAGATGTACATCGTCCTTGCTATTGGGTGTATGCTGACTGGAGGGGGATTGTACACAGTCACTGTGTGTGTACATGTGTGTTCATGCTGACCCTGTGCGTGTGTGCATGCGTACGTTATGTGCATGCATATCATTTGGGTGTTAGGTTGCATAGATGTGTGTTGTCCTTGTTAGTGCACATACACTCACTGTGTGTGTGTACACAGTTGTGTATGTGTGCATATGAATGTACTGTCACAGTGTGTGCTTTTAGAGCCACATATACATCACAACATGGATCCCATGTCCTGCGCTGTGTTAGAGCATCTGCTTCTTGTAGCATGTCCATTTCATGCTGTTCACATGACACTGAACACATGTCTGTGTGGCAGACGTCAGGGTGCTTCAGCACACTGACACAGCGTCTGCTGTGTGCATGCTATGGGTGGGGGGCTTATATTGTGGAGATGTGGATTGTGCTGCTGTGTGTGCACATTGCAGCCTGTGTTCCGCTCTTAGCCTGTGGTGTGTGCATTAGTGTGTATGCTTTGTGTAGCATGTTTTATGTGTGTAGCACATAGCTTTGTGTAGCACTGTTTTATGGGGTACATGCGTGGACTGCATGAACTATTGTGTGTTGGGACGCGTATAGTGTGTGTGTGGGAAGCATCTGGTTCTCTAGATGTGATTGTGGACCAGATGCCTGGGTTCTAAGCCTATTCGGCCAAGCTATAGCACACCTAGCTGTTATGGGCTCATGCACGGACTGTGGTGTTTAGGTGTATGTTGCGGGGTTATGGTGTGTGTATATTTGTACGTGCATGCGTCTCAGACACCTGGGTTGTGTGTGTGTGTGTGTGTGTATGCATGTCCCAGATGCCTGAGTTGTGTGCGTGTGTGTCCTTGTCCCGGGTGCCTGGGTTTCGTGTGTGTGTATGACCCGGACGCCTGGACTGTGTGTGTGCTGGACACCTGAGTTCCGTGCGTGCGTGTACGTGCCGGGCGCGTGCATCCCGAGTGCCTGGGGTTGGGGGGGGGGTGTTCCGGACGCCTGGGTCCCGTGGGTTCCGTGCCTACGGCTGCAAACTCCCTACGGCGACGGTCCGCAAGGGGCGCCCGCATGTTGCGTGCGTGCGTGGCCGGCACATGCGTGCCTTTGCGTGTGGCACTGGGGTGGGGGGGCCAGACGCCGACGTGCATGTGTCTACGTGAGCACGTACTTGCGCGCTGGAGCCCCGGGGGGTGTCACGTGGGTTGTCGCGTAGTGAAGGGGAGGGAGTACGTGGGCGCCCAAGGGGGGTGGGGGAAGCAACCCCTTCCCCGCGGTCCCTGATTGGCTGAGCTCCCTGCCCTGACGTCGATGCCGAACCTAGTGACTCCCGTTTGCTTAACCCTTTG